ATGCTACAAGGAACGTCTAACTTTGCCAGTACATGTAACTTTTCATGAGCCTATTGTGCACCTTGGAGTGCTAAACGAGATGTACAAGCGGGAGAAATCGCCAAATATGTAGCTTTTTCGAACTTCAGGGGCTTTTTGTATAGTACAGTTTATTTTCGATTATTATAAGCTATTATTATTAGCTTTGAATGAGACTTGTCGTAGTGAACTTATAAAATCTCTTATCTCTTCAGGACATGCACGCAGCTTGTTTATAGATGAAAAATAATTGTAGCTTGGAAATATGCAAGTACACCTGAATCATAGAATGAGAAAAATCATATGTGTTTATCTCGTTCTATGCTTCATCATTGCACGACAAAGTTTAACTCACTGGAGGATGCAGAATTATTTTTCTCTTGCGTATGTGGCTGTTCGAAGCAAGAACGAAAGAGAAAATAATTCTGCATCGGCGTCTTGTTACCTGACGTTCGCTGCGTTGTTTCTTTTAATATTTTGACTCATGAAAGCAAGTCATAGGTTATATCGGCATAACAAAAACCTTTCATACGAATGGACGAAAGCAGTATATTGCTGTCCAGTGATTTAATGAATAAATTAAGTGGACGAACAAAATCAACTAAGACAATTATGGGCACCTGGTTTGAGAGTGCGATGGGAAGAGAAATTAGTGATCAAGAGGAACTTTCCTTATTGGTGCGAAAGAAAACGTACCGATGGTAGTGAGTGATAACTCAAAAGATATTTGATTTTATGAAATGTTTCCTGTTCATCTCTACCCAAGTGATGAACTACCTCGTCCAGGCGATGGTAATCAGGGAAGTATTGGAGATTGCTGTTTAATTGCTGTCCTAAACAGTCTTGCTGATCGATATCCATCTTTCGTGAAATCGATCATTGCACCCCAGATAGATGGATCTTTTGACGTACAACTATTTAATCCTAAAGGACAACGAATTCTTGTCTCAATTGACTCCAATTTTCTCGTAAATGAAAATGGTCATTTAATGCAAGCTCATGGAGAACACAACCCAGCCATGTGGATGAGTGTGTTAGAGAAAGTCATCATTAAATACAATTATGTTTATAAAATATGTTCCGGTTCGGGACCGGGCAATGTCGGTGATATTGGGTCAGAAAGTGTAGCAGCGATTTTTACCGAGAATGGAGATAGCTTTGCATTCTCGCCTGGTGTCTTTTCGTCGCCGCAGGAGCTCGTGCAAGCGCAAGAGGAGGCACTAGAGCGGGGTAAACTAGTCGTAGGTGGCTTTGGTATTTTCATGGATACAGATAATTTTTAAAACCATCCCTCTACATGCTTAATGCACTTGTACCGAAAGATGACCGTACTATGCTATCTATGCTTAATCCGCATAC